ACGCGCAACTTGAATGTAAATATTATGCAATAATAATGGTAAAGTTTATTCTCTGACAAATAAAAAGACGCAACAAATTGAACTGGTGGTGTATTTGACCTCGAAAGCTACTGCATAGCAAACTTGAACAAAATGATTTATAAACAGACTATAACTACAAACGAAACAAATTCTACTCAAATTAATTCTACAGTTTTGCTTTCTCTGGCGATTCTGTGCATAAAACTGAATTTTAAACAGGTCGGCAAAATCAATGCATAAATTAACTTGTCAGAAGTGTGAATTGCCTTCTGCCAGTACAGTAACGGTATGAACCGGCCTGAATGGTGAAGAACTGGCCGGTACGGTAAAGCAGCGGCCGGTACGGTAAAGAAACGCACGCCGTGGGAGACTCACAGGAAACCGGCTTGGTGGTAATGATCAGTCAGACCACTCATTGGATTTTGATGAAACTTGGCACATGGATGCTCTGAACTAATGCGCAGCTTTGATAAGTTTTGGGTAAAAATTTATGAATAATAATTACCTAATTTGCATGATAATTAACTGATTTTAAGCTGTTCTATGACTTTTCCACTGATATTTGAAGAACCATTCAAGGAATTTTGATGAAACTTGGCACATGGATGCTCTGAACTAATGCGCAGATTTGATTAATTTTGGGTAAAAATCTGTTTATATTAATTACCTAATTTGCATAATGATTAATCAATTTTCGGCTTTTCTCGAGTACTAATCATAACATTTCAATAAAAACTTGGTACATAGATGTCATATGACACTGCACAGACCTGATAGTTTTTAGGGTAATATCGGTACATATTAATTACCTAATTTGCATAATTAATTAATTGTCAGCTTTTGATATTTCGAGTAGTAACGATCACTTTTCAATGAAACTTGGTACATAGTTACTTGAGGACTGTGCAGAGACTTAATTAGTTTTTGGGTAAATATTTGTGCATATTAATCACCTTATTAGCATAATTAGTTAATTTTCAGCTTTTCACCTGATATCTCAAGTACTAATCATCACATTTCAAAGAGATTTGCGACATAGATCTTCTAGGACTATGCAGAGACCTGATTAATTTTGGGATAAATAATTGTGCATAATTTGCCTAATTTGCACAATTAATTAATTTTTTGCTGTTCTACTGATTTCTAAAGAACCAGTCATTGGATTTTAATGACACTTTTAAAGAGTACCCATCACATTACAATGAACCTAGGACTATACACCATATTAGTTTTTGGTAAATATTTATGCTTCTTAATCACTTAATTAACATAATTAATTAATACTGATATCTCAAGTATTGATCATCACATTTGAATAAAACTTGGTACATAAATGCTCTAGGACAATAGACTGCCTTATTAAGGGACAACATCAAAAGTTCAATGTAGGATAAAAACATAATTCCTTTAGTTTTTTTCCAAACCCCCCACTAAAACTTAATTGATAAATATTTACCATGGCGTCAGACTACATTCACCAATAACTACAAATTGATAATCTGACAGTAGTATGGCGTAGTAGTTGGTTGTCGGGTGGGTGTAAAAAGACTTTACTTTTTACTTTACTTTACTAATTTTGGGGTAAAATCTGTTCATATTAATTATCTAATTAGCATAATAATTAATAATTTTTTGGTTCTAATCATATTTAAATGCAACTTGGTACATTGTGCAGACCTTATTAGTTTTACACTTAAATCTGTTCATATTAGTTATCTTATTTGCATAATTAGTTTTCTGCATCAATATCTCAAGTTCAAGTAATTTTGTGTCTTCAATACTCTCAGCACACGGGAGTTCTTTCTAAGCTTTCTTTGATGTTTGGCTTTACTATTCAATAAAATAATACATGCATTATATAATATATATACCATATGTGGCATGAAATGGTTAGTTTGCCAGGATTTTTAGTTACGCTTGCTTTGAGTTTTGCCAACGTGCATAGCTACAGACATTCAATCTGTGATTGCGCAGTTTGTCTACCTAAATTATCGTCTCGTGTAATGGCACCACTTTGTTTGATTTTGTTACGAGAGAATGGTGTTGACATTGACATAAACCTATACTTAAGCAGTGTGCAGCTTATTTTTAGTCAGTGTACTAATGCGAACTAGAACGCAGTGTAGCCTATAGCTGCGCACTGAGTTGCGTGGGGCGTGTTTGTAAAAAAATAATTCTTCATCAGGCTGAAGCTGCTGAAAATAGGTTTATCAACACAACCATAATAAAACTCAATAGAATTCAATCACTGCTCTAGAACTATTTCCACTTGTATGTTTGTGTTCATACATGCATTCTGCTCTACGAGCGTGACCTAGAAGATTGCCATGATTGAGTGCCACAATTTATTTGGTATAATAACACAAATGTTCACCCTTGACTTCGCCTTGGTTTACAATGTGCTTTTCAGGTCACTAAAACAATATGTCCACCTCTGTTGGGGTGAACATTTTTATATTCACAATTTGCATGATTAGAGGTATTTACGCCTATTTGGAGAAAATAAAACATTGTTTTACGAAACAAGTTGAATTGAGTCATTAATTTCCACAGTACTTTTACACTAAACAAATGCAAATGTACAAAGCAATTTCTATCTTGCTTTGCTGTTTCGTAGAATTATTAAACATGGTTGTCAACAGGTCATTGTCAAAGCCTAGTCTTACCCATTAATATCCCATTCATGATATTCAATTACTGCATTAGACACTGAAATTTGACTATTTGGAAATCAGTGTCAATTTACCAGGTTACTTATTCGACGGCCAAATTTTGGGTGATTTAGAAGGGATGGGTAATAAAACTTATAGGGAATGGGCGTTTATTTTTTGTTATACAGTATTACAATATTTATTTTTAATTTCTTTGTACAGTTCAGCTAACAAATGTTTATTGAAGGTAGCAATGTATGCAGCACAGTTAGAGCTATACCCAAAAGCTATAGAGATCTACGAACAAGTCGCAACATCAGCAATGGATAGCACGCTACTCAAATACAGTGCAAAGGATTATTTCTTTAAAGCTGCTCTCTGCCATATGTGTGTTGATTTGTTGAATGCACAACACGCTATACAAAAGTATGAAGAAATGTTCCCTGCTTTTGCTGATAGTAGAGAACATAAATTAATCAGGGTATGTTTAATTATTATATTATTATCTGAATATGGCTGTTTAAAGGAATTCATTTGCACGACTAGCATACACTAAATGCATTATTTGATTTATATGAGCTTTTATTGGTGATACGCTTTTAATAGAACAAATTTGCCTGAAAGTGAAGAAGGTATGTAACAAAAAAAAGACTGATTCATGGCCAATCCCACCTTTTACAGTGAAGGATACCAAAATAATTGTTCATTTTTTTAGTAATCAGTTACCCCTCTCTACTAAAGTCGGACATTGGCTCATTCATTAACCACGTAAAATCATTTGCAACATCATGAAGAATGGGATAGTTGCACTTTTATCTCTGTGGCAACTATTAGTTGATATAGTGCATGGAGAAGACGCACAACTGTCACTCATTGTTCAAAAAATTAGCATCTTCAGATTAGCAACGTGCAATATTTATCACGAAAGTCAGTCACCTACTGACCTTAGCAGTAAAATCTTAGCAGTAGGTAACCTGTGGAACAGTCATTTGGCATCTAGGCTTGTGATTAACACAGTCTGCAGAATTAAATTCACATGAATTCAAACTTTCTGTATTTTTAAATTTCAGACTCTGATAGCCGCATCAGAAGAGCAGAATGTAGATGCATATACAGATGCTGTAAGTTTGATATTTATTGTTTTATTATCACAACATTGACAAGTTTATTGATTGCACATTTTAACACGTCCCTTTGTTTACGTTGGACGCATTACTGCTATATCTCATTGCAGAAATAGAATCCTGTCTCTGAACACAAATGTTTGTATAGTGTAAAAACCTTTTTTGTTACAACAAGCAGGAAAAATATGTATAATGCTAAGGCTATCATGAGGATATCGCAAAATATGCACTCAGAACTCATATCAGGAACTGATATGATTGCAATTACTACCTTCGTGTCTATTATTGTATTCTTCAGTGGTCGCGTTTACGCAAAAACATGCGTATATTACACATCAATATCACATTGTACGCAACAAAATAAACACAGTGCGTACTATGTACGCAAAAATACGACAATTTAATTTACTTTCACTAACCCCCTGATAGCGATCATTCGGTGATGCCGAACTAAACGGGTCATTCCAACACCGATTAACAAACACGCCGAATGTACAAATTCAGTAACACGTGTACGTGGCTAACACTCTCACAAGGCCACTGAGAAATTGACAACTTTTTTTTTCTCTGCGTCTCTGAACAATAAATTTAAGCCAATTGGAAACACCAAAAATCGCGTCATCCACCCGTCATTTTGACGCGATGGCTGATAACCGCGCGCGAATAGAGCACATGGTATTCACAACATGGAGAAGCCTATTTTTTCATATTTTTCAAGTTCTGTCACCACGAAAAGAGCAAGATCAACATTCTCAGCAGATGATCACAAAAACAAAAATGACTCCATGTTGCTGAATTACCGCCAATGCCCCGGGTCTTCGACAGACTCTCGACATACGCACCCCGATGTCACGGATATTACAGAAAAAGGTGTTCTTTGCAGCAAGAAAGCCAAGTTTGTTCCTCAGAAAACGTATCAGTTAGCCTGGGAAGCAGAGTATAAATGGCTACGTCCGGAAAAACGGGAATGCGAAGATAAAACTGTCATGTTCTGCCGACTGTGCGAGGAATGAAGAGAAAATAATGCCTTCACAAAAGGATGCGGGGATTTACAGAAATCGGCATTGAAACGACACATGGACAGTCCCGGACACAGGAGAGCTGTAATGCAGTTGAAGCTAATAAAACCCAGTCCGACACAACGCGGAAAGCTGTTTTTCGCACGGTGTATTTTTTATCCAAACAAGAATTACCGAATGATGTTTATGGAGGGCTTATCGACCTACAGCGTGTGAACGGCTGCCAGGCTTTTAATTCTAAAGATACTGCAATCCCAACACACCATTCGAATGTGACAGAAATGCAGGAAACTATTAAGAAGAATTGCGGAAAGTCCCTTTATTGGAATACTTGTGGACGAAACTGTTAATGTGACAATTTATAAGAAATTAATTGTATTTTTCCGAGTGTTGAATGAGGACGGGAGAGCTGAAACTATTTTTGGTGGTAACTATACTGTTCAAAGTGGTGATGCTGAAACAATTTTTAATAAAATGCAAGAAGTAATAGACGAAAAAGGAGACAACCTGTT